GGTCTGCAAAGAAATAGATTAAAACTTAGCAAAAACAATGATTTGGATAAGACGGTGTGCACGTGATACATAAAGGAAAGGGCACAAGGCACACAGAAATTGAGGGCTAGCTTTTAAACTAAAATATTTGGACAAAACTTTGAAAGTGTACAAGAAACTTTAGGGAAAGCAGTGGAAAATTATAGCATTTTAAACAACAATGTGAGTTCTTCAAGTATTGCCATAACAGAGAAAATTAATTCAGCTCCCACTAATGACAATTTAAGTAATCTAAACACCATAATAAAGAACAAATATTATTGAGGCACATCTATAATGCTGATGAAATGGAGCTCTGTTGCAGAATGATTTCCAAGGTTGAGGGTTTCAAGCAGGTGCTATACTTTAAAACAGTCTTCTCCAGCCCAGTCCTTATGGACTACCAACAGTCCAGGATTTATGTATTTCCTTGTTTTATTCCAATTGAGATACTGACAAAACCTGGACTGGGTTGGAGAACACTGCTTTAAAACACAAACAAATGTACACGCTAATCTTACTGTAAAACATATTTAAAAATGCTTGGATGACATTACATATAACACAAGGATGATTTAAGAAGTATTTTGTGCTATGCCTATAGGCTCATATAAGATTACTGTTGAGTCAATGAAAGCCCACCTTCTTTATAAATGCCCTATGTACCCTTCCGTCAAAATGCTTACCGGCAAAGATGTATAAATTAAGGTAAGCATTCTACCCAGGGGCGTGACCAGGAACAACAGAGCCCCACTGCAAGAATCAAAGAAGGGTCTTCTCATGACCCCTCTTTGCTCCACCCTAAGTAATACACCTGAATGGGATGTGTTTGGATGGCTGAGTGATTGTTTAGAGTTGGCAACGTGTGATTGTAAATGGGATTTGGTTGTGTGTGAGTGTGAAGTCATTGGCCCTGCTTGGGGACACTTCCCTAAGCAGGTTAATCCCCAGTGCTGAGGCTAACATGCTGGCTTCATTATCGGTGCATTCCATACTTCTCCAGCAGGCGTGATAAATGCCTGCTGGGCGAGGTGACAGGGAGCAAGAGAACCTCTTGTCACTCAACCTATGGCAATAGTTCCTGTCTCATGCTAAAGACTTAATAAGTGAGTGAATGATTATATTTTTAGTTAAAAGAAAGAGGGGAAGGTGAAGAATGGATTGCTAGCAACAACGGTGGGAATAATGCATTGTTTTGCTCATCACAAGACAAATATCTATATGTACTCCTACGGTCTCATGAGATACTCCATATACATCAGCGTAGTACTCTCATGCATGTGAAAGAGTACAGCAGTAATGTGGGCTCCTGGAGGAGCTAAAGATCAGAGAAAGTGGTGCCTGCAAGAGGCAGCATCAGGTAAGTATAGCTCACCTCTACTGTACCCCCGTACAATGCACCACAAGTGGAAATGTTATTATTGGGAGTCTTTTCAATACATGTTAAGACCCCAATAGATGACAGAGCCTCTTTAAAGTATAATCCTATTGCCCACTCCTGGTTTATATCCAGTATGCCTCTCTTAGGTTTGGTACATACAGTAGAATCTTTCAGATGGTCAAAGAATTTAGATATGACGGCTACAAGAGAGGCATTCATTATACTGATTTTTATTCAGGCCTATATAATTCATGCAGGGTCTTCAGTATCGCTTTTTTTTTTTTTTAGAAACAATATAGAAACTTGCACCTACCTGAGAGAAAGAACATTTGATAAATCCCAAGGCCTCCTGTATATGCTTCTCTATATCCAGAAACTCCTGAGAAGAAAGAGCATATACCCTGCCTTCAGGGAGCATAATTCCTGGTAACAAATCAATGGAAAAGTCATAGGGGCAAGGAGGTGGTAATTTTTGTCAGCTTACTTATCAAATACCTCTTTGATATCCCTATATTATTTTGCAATGTCAGTGGATAATCGTGCAGCAATGGGAGTGTTAATAGCAAGCAGAGCTTTACAGAGTTTAAACACCTGTCCTAGCATTTCTGGCTAAATTAAACAACATCACCCAGCACCCAATCAATGCTAAGATTGTGTTTTACTAGCCAAGGGAATCCTGGCAAGAAGGAGAGAAAATAGTATTCAATCATGTGTAGTCAAAAAAGTAACCTATGGTCGGCACTTTAGATGTCATGGACTACATCTCCCATAATGGTCTTACAGATATAATGCTGGCAAAGTATCAGATGTAGCCGCAACAACTGGAGTGCCTGCCACTGATCTATGGCCTCTACGGACAAGGGTGTCATTCTTTCTTGAAAGGTTAATCCTATCTAACTGATGGTAAATGACGTTCTCAGCAGCACCGGAATCTACCTGGGCTATAAAATATGTTGGTTGATAGGAGAAGCATTCTATTAATCGGTACAATAGAGGACGTTCTCATCACTCCCAAGTTCTCTTCCTTGAGGTGCTGTGAAGTTTTCCGTATGGACCAGACAATCTTTATGCAGATGAACTTTTTTTCCCCACAACTGAGACGTTACCCTCATTTATTTAAAATATATATATTTTACCAGGAAGGATACATTGAAATTTCTCCCGTTTTCAGGTATGTCATGGGCCCACAAACACTGCATTGTTACAACATGGTACAATATAATATTAGAAAACAATAATATGTATATACAGGTGATACTCGAAAAATTAGAATATCGTGCAAAAGTTCATTTATTTCAGTAATGCAACATAAAAGGGGAAACTAATATATGAGATAGACACATTACATGCAAAGCAAGATAGTTCAAGCCGTGATTTGTCATAAGTGCGATGATTATGGCTTACAGCTCATGAAAACCCCAAATCCACACTGCAAAATTGATCTTGGAGCACAGCCTCAATCTGCAGTGGATTAGGTTTACTAGCATAGATTACAGTGTCATCTGCATACGTGTACAGTTGAGGCTTTGCAGAAGTTGGGCAAATCATTTATAAATAATGTGAATAGTAGGGGTTCAAGCACGAGCCTTAGGGAACACCACACGTGACTGGGTGAGGGGCGCTATCAAAAATGGTCACATATTGCGATCGATCCGATACACATGATCAAAATTATGTTAGCAAACAATCATTAATACCGGAGTTGCAAAAGAATTCCATGGTCTACTGTGTCAAATAGCTCCAATTAAGTCTCTAGTTTGGATGTCACGGCAAACTTTTAAGAGAGCATTTGTAGGTGAGTGATTTGGACGAAAGCAAGATTGATCATGGGTCAGATCGTTTTTCTGCTTTGTGATCGCTCTAACTGCATTGGATCAGGTTCTGTTAAAGGCAAAAGCTCAGGGTTGGAGAACGTCGGGGCTACTAGTAAAAATGGATGTTAGTTCTTATTTGTAGCTTTCTGTATCTCCCTAATCCTGTGCCGTGGAAGATCAAGGGCCCATTCAAAAACAGATTAACACTAAATGGAGGGGCAGGTCGCAGGATAATCTGGGCACCATAGTTACCTCAATACTACAAAATGGTTATAAAGCCTAGTGCTGTCCTTTAAGACTTCATAAGTATCCCCAGGAAAAAAAATTAAAAATAGGAAAATGGTAACAAAAACTGAAACTTTAGCCGTTTCTTTAATATCAGAACAAAAAAGTGAAAAAACAAAACTATGGTTCATTGGAAGAACAAAAAATGTAATCACAAAAAATGAATGATAGAACTAAAACGTATCCATACCACAATGTATTATTACTCCCATGTTGAATGTATTGCTCAGGCGGCACAACGTTGTAGTTTTAAATGTTTATGTCTAGAAGCATCTGTCAGTTCTCTGATGCTACATGGGCTTTTTCTTTTGCTATTTACATACAAGTATCACTATTACTACATTCTCTTTCCATGTGGGTAATGTTTCCATACCCCATTTCATATTTTAAACCCCTCAGCCTACTGACTCTCTATGCCCGGTGAACCGTGATTGGTATGGTATCTGTAGCCTTAACAATGCTTCAAATCATTATTTTTGTATCAAATAATGTTTGAAAATCTTTTCAAGTGATATACCTGCAGAATTCACTATTAAAGTCTATAGGAATTTGTAGAGAAATCATCTGAAAAGTTTTTATCTAACACTTCATCAAAGCTATTTACATTTATGAGACCTAGGCCTATATCTGCAATGTTATTTATTGTCACACACTGTACTTCCTCTGTATTTTAAAAACAGACAAACTCAGCATAAAAAGTGGCAGTAACTAAGGGTTCCTAGTTGGCCTGACTGCCTGACATGAATGAGATTACATGGAGTATTTCTATTTAGGGATGAGGTGCGTGGGGTCTATATTTAGAAAACAAGTCCTGAACTAAATGAGAAAGTATCCATCCTTCCCCTCCCCCATGGGTCTTCCACACTATCACAGCCTCCCTCCTCCCTATCTGTAATAATCCCTGTAGTATCACAGCCTTCCTACCCCCATTCTCTAATAACCCACCTAGTATCACAGCCATCCTACCCCCATTCTCTAATAACCCACCCCCCCCAGTATCACAGCCTTCCTACCCCCATTCTCTAATAACCCACCTAGTATCACAGCCTTCCTACTCCCATTCTCTAATAACCCACCTAGTATCACAGCCATCCTACCCCCATTCTCTAATAACCCACCCCCCCCAGTATCACAGCCTTCCTACCCCCATTCTCTAATAACCCCCTCCCAGTATCACAGCCTTCCTACCCCATTCTCTAATAACCCACTTTAGTATCCACAGCCTTCCTACCCACATTCTCCTAATAACCCACCCCTAGTATCACAGCCTTCCTACCCCCATTCTCTAATAACCCCCCTAGTATCACAGCCTTCCTACCCCCATTCTCTAATAACCCCCCCAGTATCACAGCCTTCCTACTCCCATTCTCTAATAACCCCCCTATTATCACAGCCTTCCTACCCCCATTCTTTAATAACCCACCCCCCCCAGTATCACAGCCTTCCTACCCCCATTCTCTAATAACCCCCTCCCCCTCTTTCCCCAGGACCCTGAGGTATCCCACTCCTCATGTTGGTGCATATCGCCGCCCCCGCCTCTCCTGTCTGCTCTCTGTCACTGGACACATTAACACGGTCACCCTCTCCCCCTCACGCCAAATTTAGCAGCGCTATTAGTACATCGCCCTGCTCCCAGCCCTCCCCTTCCTCCTCCCGCCCAGTCACGGCCTCCCTCCTGGGTGACGCAGAAACTTTCTAGAAATCCTTCCCATCGCCCTTTGCGTTTCCAACATGGAGGACCTGACGGTGGAAGTGCGCGGCTCTAACGGAGCCTTCTACAAGGTAACGGGGCGGGGGAGGCCGGCCGCGGGCAGGGCGGGGAGCCGGGGGGTGAGAGTGGGGGAGGATGGACCCCCGTGTGGGGGAGAGCCCGTGTGAGGGCCAGGGAGGGGGACAGGCCGGACTCGGGGCCCGGAGATGGCGGACGGTGGAGGCCGCGGCCGTGCTGGGGGGATGGAGTGGGCAAAGTGGCCGTGAGCAGCCTGAGAGTGATCACTGCTCGGTTACTGTCACAGGGAGAGCCATATTACTGTGCGCTGACTGTATGGCTGAGGGTTATTACTGTGCGCTGACTGTATGGCTGAGGGTGATCTCAGTGATGGCTGAGGGTTCATTACTGTGCGCTGACTGTATGGCTGAGGGTGATCTCAGTGGTGGCTGAGGGTTAATTACTGTTATTGTGTGGCTGAGGGTGATCTCAGTGGTGGCTGAGGGTTCATTACTGTGTGTTATTGTGTGGCTGAGGGTTAATTACTGTGTTATTGTGTGGCTGAGGGTGATCTCAGTGGTGGCTGAGGGTTAATTACTGTGTTATTGTGTGGCTGAGGGTGATCTCAGTGGTGGCTGAGTGATTAAATAACCCAGTCCCAGCAATAAAGAGGCCCATAATGTCAGTTATGTCCTAGGGAGGTGTATAAATGCTCTATATAAACACGTGTGCAGCTCTGTAGTGTTGGTAAGTAACCATTTGGATTCTTTAGGCAGATATTATAATGTTCTCCTTTGTCTACAAGTGGGGTGGCCAAGAGATGGACCCCCAGCTGTGCTAGAAATACAACTTCCATGGGTAGCTAAGCTTTAAGCCTTTCACAGCTTCATGGGGGTTGTAGTTCAGCTACCATTGAAGGCCTTGCTTTTCTCTACAGATTACTTTGTAGGTACACACTTTTCTGAGCTGTGCATGTTTCTGGTTGTAAAGGTTGCCATGTTAATTGCTTGGTATCCATCCTCTAACAACAAGTTATGTTTACTCAAACAGTGGCTTGGGACAGTTTGAATGTAAAGGGGATAATTGTTCACAAAGATTAAAAAAGGAACAATAGCAAAGTGCAATCACTTTAATCACTTGCTTTTTTTTTTCTAAATGTGAAAGTAGATTTTTACTCGTTTCTTCAACAGAGGGGAAACCTGATAGGATCTATGGTGAGATCATGAGCTTGTTCTGCATTGACGTCCATGAAAAAGACAAAATAGACGTTACATCACTGGAGCTAACTGTTTTTAATAGCTTATCACATTCATATTACATATAGAAATGTAACCGCAGCAATTATGTTCTTGAAAAACTGAATTGTCTTTGAGTGTGAAACTGTTTGAGCACTTTATGGAGAATAACTATATGAGTAACGGTCAAGTTTGGGTAACAGTTATATAGTGAAGGCTAAGTCATTATGTGGTAACTATTAAAAAGAAAAGATCATGATTTAAAAATAGTAATAAGAGAATTGGCTATATATCTGTGTGACCTTAGTGAGCTTGTAAAAGACTATAAGGGGAGTTTTGTAAGAGCATCTTTAAGGTACGGATTTGAACATTTTGATTTGACTTCCATCTGTTTCAGAGTTCGTGGCCTAAGTCTCTTCTTCCCTGTTTTTCTTTTTTTTTTAATTTATTTATTTTTTTAAAATACTTTATGCATTTCTTTTTATTATAGGTATAGTCTTTTTACTACAGCTGTGATGCGCAGATATATTTGGATCTTAAATTTTGTTTTTCTTCTTGAATGAGCTGTCCATAATTGGTATATGGATATGGTTGTAATTGAACTCATTCAAACACTTTCCTGCCCATGACACACAAATTTATCCTGGATTCTTTGCCATTTGAAACAGGCATTGTTGGTGACAGCTGTTTTTTTGAGATGCATAAAGAGAGCAACTTTCAAAATACTGGTAGGCTAATGAAAATGTTATTTAAGGAACACTATAGCATTAGGAATACAAGCATGTATTCCTAACACTATAGTGTCCGAGTCCATATAAAGATACAGCTCCACACCCCTTTGGACCTTAAAAAAAAAAAAAAGGGGGGGGTGGGATGTTTTGTGTAACTTTTTTTTTCAGTGGTGAGACTCACTCGGTGTTGCTGTACGCTCCTCTCACAGCTTCACTTCAACGTCATCATCATCCAATCCAATGCTCCTCATAGAAGAGTATTGGGGACAAGATGAGAAGTGAGCAGAAATCAAATGCTTCTCATAGCTGCATTTAATGGTGTTTGACCTCATAGATGTTGAATGTCACATGACACAAAATCATTGCAGTGTCTGGAAGCCACTGGATGTTTTAAATCAAAACTTCGCTGTATCTAATGAACAATATTTTAGTGACTGGGTAAAACTAAAGGGCAACTAACTGCACCCTGACCACTTCATTAAGACGAAGTGGTCTGGGTGCCTTCTGTGGATTTTTGTTTTAATAATGGTAGAATCTTTTGTGAAGAGCTTATTAATGGTGCTGGAATTTCTTTGACGTTCCAGCACAATTACAATATAAGACAAGACAAGACAAGGCAGTGACTACTTTGCCATATGTAGAAGACAATTAGGGTTATTCACTAATGGAGAATTCAAAGTGAATTTCAAACATAAGGGGAAAATAGCCTGAACTGGCTTTATAGAGCACTGTCATCATCTGGGGTTTTATCGCCGCTGGTGGTCTAGTGTCCAGGGGGCGGGGAAAGGTGAGATTTACTTACCTGTACCTGTGCCTCCATAGTCTTTCAGCTGACGTCACTGCTGTACTCTACTTTGTATGCGCAAGAGAACAGCATTGAGTTCTATGGAGGATGCAGCAAGACCTTTGGATCCTCCATAGACCACTAATATCCCTGCAGCCGTCACTGTGGTGGGAGAGTGACACAGGCGGCAGTAGTTCTGCCCAGTGTCTTTAAGTGTCAGGCATGGGAAATATACTGAGACAAAGTAGTCCCTGTTTTGTCTTCGTATATCTTTTAACTGGGTTGGAATTTCACTTAAATTCCAACAGTCAACGAGTATTTCATAAAGATTTTATATTCACGAAATACTCATTTTGCGTGAGCGAGGGTGGTCACAGTGCCTCTTTAAATATATTCTCTTTGAATTCTCACTTTAGTAAATATTAATGTTTTGCAAACTGGAGGAAATAGAAGAGCTTAAAACAGCTTACATCTGCCACATTTTGTCTTTTCCATTCAGTGATTTACTCACAACAGCTGATGGACCTATTCCGTGTGATGTGCGTGCACAAGATCTACTGGAGAATGAGGAATCTTCCAAAGACTTCTGCTATTTACTCTAGTGTAGTCAAGCGAGTACACCATTGACTTGGGTTATCTACAAGTAGCTCAAAAATGAGAGAGAGAGCAGGTTGAGGGACAACTTTAGATAGGCAGGTCTCACATTCCTCAACAACCATTTGCCCTATGCAATATGACATGGAGTTGTAAAGTACTGTATTTCATAATTGTCAGCGCTGAAACCCACTTCCCGAAAAAATTAGCATGTCATAAAGATGAAATGCTCAATAAGACTGTGTTGGAATTTCATTAAAATTCCATCACAGTGAAAATATATCTTCAGACAAAGCAGGGACATCTTTGTCCTATGAATTTTTTTAAAAAATTTTTTTCTTCGCTTGTCAAAGCTCAACAAAAGGTGAAGATACCTCATGTCAATCCGTCACAGCTGAAGGGAAAAAGACTTTTGTATGGAGTATCCCTCCGTCATGAGGGATCGCTCAGCTCAGTTCAGTTTCTGCTAATAACCCCCCTAGTATCAGCCTTCCTACCCCCATTCTCTAATAACCCCCTAGTATCACAGCCTACCTACCCCCATTCTCTAATAACCCCCCTAGTATCAGTCTTCCTACCCCCATTAACCCTGCCTGATGTAAACATAGCAGTTTCCAAGAAACTGCTATGTTTACATCTGGGGTTAAGCCAGCTTCTAGTGGCTGTCTTCCGGACAGCCACTAGAGGTGCATCGGCAATGATTGAGGCATATTATGCCTCAATCACGCAGAGCGTCCATAGGTAAGCATTGAAAAATGCTTTCCTACGGACACTTTGAATGCGCGCGTGTCAGACAAGGATGCTGACGTCGGCGGGGGAGGAGAGGTAAGGGAGCCCAGCAGAGGAAAAGGGTGAGGAGCTGAAGGGGTTTTAACCCCTTCAGTGCCGCGGGTGGGGGCACCCTCAGGGTACTATAGTGTCCCTTTAACAACATACAACTTACTGTAGTGATTATGATGCACCCAAAGCTGGACCTCTCTGTTGCTGCCTGGATACTGCTGCCTTTCCTTTCTGTACAATTCTGCATGGATTTGTACAAAGAATGGAGTGAAATGTTCCATATTATCTGGATGGTAACAGAGGGTTTGGGATTTTGGTGCCAAGATTTTTAACAGATTAAATGGTTTGAGAAAGATTGGAAGGACTACACCTTTCATTTGCAGCTGTGAGTAGCTGAAGAAATGAGCTGTACAGATATTCTTTTCTATGTCTGATAAAAACATCAAGGACTTTGAGGATTCCACATTTACCTGTACTTTGGGTCTTATTAGGTATTTATATCAGAGGTGACTAAAAGGTGTTACAACAGTTGAACTAAATCTCCAGTGATTGTTAGCCAGGCCTAAGGGGGGTGAGCTTCATGTGAATTGTAGTTATAAAACACCACGAAATCTACTTTTTGGCCATCCCTGCAAAAAATGTTGTTCTACCGTTTGGATCTTCAGTGCATTGCCTGCACTTCTTAGGAGAATTGTGGATTAGTCACCATGGCTATTAATATTTAATGTTTATTTCACTTATTATTAAATTACAGGCATCTGTAGTCTAAGTTGAACTTCAGTAGGATTTAAGAATAGATTGCTTAGTTAGAATATGTAACAAGAAAGACACCTAAAGTATGCTGTCCGGGAGGTGGGTGTTTCTCTACAAAGTATTGCAGCTGCCACTGTCGCTCTTCAAACGCCAGAGCATTGTCAGCAATTTCAAACACATTGGAGCCTTTCTATTTTTAAAACTGGTTTTCCTCCATTTGGCGGTATATTCAGCTGTATAATTACTCAGGTATTTGGTTTTAATAATTATTCAAGTTTTCTGTAAAATAAGAAAATTATTTAATTTAACATGATTCTTTGCTTTTTCAAACTTATCACAAAACTATTTATTTTTTATTTTTGAATGAGTCACCGTAAAAGTAATCAGATATTTTACAAGTGCAACTGTGTACCTTCAAGATCAATCCAGCCTACATTCTCGATTTATTATTTATTTTAAAAAAATGCAAACAGTTTTTCTGAACACAAAGTATTGGTTAATCATTATTTTACCCCCCACTTAGGCTATTGCATTAGGTGGCAACTGGGGTTTGTTGGAAAGGGTGGGGGTTATAGTGGTATCAAACTTCATGAAGAATGATCACAGGTGCAAGAAGTACATTGCTGACTGAAACACTAAAAATATTTAAGTGCAGCTGGCAAAACATTTAGAGAACATAGGTTTTCCCAACTTGAGTGTCTATGTAGTCTGATGTTTAGCTATTTGCCTTAGCTTTTCTTTCAATATGTGAAACAATAAAAGTGTTTTCCACAAATCATGTAGGTGGCAAGTTTACGTTGGATTGTTACTAGGATATGCAGGATAAAATTTATTTCAGAAAACTGCTTCTTCCTCATCCAAGATTTCCATAGACTTTATTGTTCAAGTAGTCCAGTCAACTTGTGACGTGAGCTGCATCTCATAAAAATTAGAGTTGCAAGTGCCTGCTGAGAATTGTGAAATGCAAGATCGCCAGAAGACTGTGCAAGTGCATAGAGAGCCATGTGTCAACTTATTTTAGGCGCCAGTGTGCATTTTGTAGCACTGTACGATAGATGGATGAGGCATACAAGTAAATACAATAAGACAAGTTTGAATTGTGAACAAATGGTTGTGACGGTCCTGATTCAATAAGCTTACAATCTAAAGGATGTGGGTTAAGTACATTCAATTCAAAGTAAAAATGGACCAAGTGCAGAAATCCCTACAGCGGTTGTCTCACCTGCCAATTCAAGTGCTTTTATGACATAGCAGCGAAACCAGCTTCATTTATAAACATGAACACAAGTTTTGGTGGTGATTTTATGTTCACAAATGAAAATACTTATTTTTGCTGAGCAAGGTATTTATTTTTCCATGGTATGTGTAATTTTCCTCAAGCTTTAAATTGGCAGTCCAAGTACCATAGGTTTATTGTTTAAAGAGCACTAAGCCCACTCCCATGTTTGAAAGTGGGGGTTATAGAAGTAACTTTTTTTGTTTATGATAAAATGTATATAAACATACAAACCGTTCTAGATTGCCAGTGTCAGTTTGCCAAGAGGTAACTGGGCTACATATAAATTGATAACCATAGTATGGCTGCTGCATTAATAAAAGGTCACATTTTACAAATCTCTTTTAAAAGGGATACTCTAAGAACAACTATACCTTAATGAAGCAGCTCCCTGTTCAGTTGTCTGCATTTAGGTGTAAAATTAGTTTCTGTTTCTGCAGCTCTAGCCACACACCAACTGGCTATATCTTGCACAGCCAACATGAAAAAAAAGGGGTTTCATTTTCAGTCAGATCTGGCAGCACAATGTGTTTACTGGAGACGTTTTTATCTCCTGCTCTGTTAATTGAACTTTTATCACACATAGATGTGTTGCAGATTGTTAACGGAATAGTAGACACAAATGTTAAACTAAACAGACTGTGCATTAAAGGAAGTTTTAAACATTTAGTTCTCTCTTTACAGAAAATGTGTAAGTCACATATTTTGGGGAGGGATTACTAGGGTTGCATAAATGTGATTTTTAACTCCTGTGTGGCAGATAATTGCACAGTATGATTGCAGGGCATTGTCTTTGCACCAAAGCAACTCTATTAAAGGGATACTATAGGTACCCGGACCACTTAATCTCATTGAAGGGGTCTGGGTGCAGTGTCCTTATCCACCTTAGTCCTGCAATATAAAACATTGTGGTTTTTGAGAAACTGCAATGATTACTTTGCAGGACTAGGACTTCCTCTAGTGACTATCAGACAGCCACTAGATGTGCATCCTGGATTCTCATGGAGTTTGACTCTGTTAAATGACACTGGACATCCTCATGCTCTGCATGAGGCCCTCAAATGTCTGTGAAAGCCCCATAGGAAAGCTTTGAGGCAATGCTTTCCTAAGGGGAGGGCCTAATATGCACGTTGTGCATACGCATTAGATCTACCTGTTGGAGAGGGCTGAGGGACAGCGTCAATGGATTCTGGTAAACGAGTAAAGTTTTTTTTTTTTTTTTTTTTACTCTTTATGCACCAGAAGGACTAGAGGGCACTATAATGTTAGGAATATAGATTTGTATTCCTAACTCTATAGAATCCATTTAAGCTAAAGTTGTTTTGGTGCTTCTAGTTTCTACTCTAAAATGTCCCTTTTAATAGAGCTAGAGGGGTTAAATGCAGTAACATACAGTCAGCAAGCTAAAGTGGTCTGAAGTGTTTTGATTTTTTTTTTTTGGAGCCATTGGTCACATAAGATGAAACCTAGAATGTGATGGCCAACAAGAACCATTCGGCCCATCTAGTCTGCACAATTTTATAAATATTTTCATTAGTCCCTGGCCTTATCTTATAGTTAGGATAGCCTTATGCCTATCCCACGCATGCTTAAACTTCTTTACGGTGTTAACATCTACCACTTTAGCTGGCAGGCTATTCTATGCATCCACTACCATCTCAGTAAAGTAATACTTCCTGATATTATTTTTAAACCTTTGCCCCTATAATTTAAGACTGTCCTCTTGTTGTGGTAGTTTTTCTTCTTTTAAATATAGTCTCCTCTATTACTGTATTGACTCCCTTTATGTATTTAAATGTTTCTATCATATCCCCCCTGTCTCGTCTTTCCTCCAAGCTATACATGTTGAGTTCCTTTAACCTTTCCTTGTAAGTTTTATCCTACAATCCATGAACCAGTTTTGTAGCCCTTCTCTGAACTCTCTCTAAAGTATCAATATCCTTCTGGAGATACGGTCTCCAGGATTGCGTACAATACTCCAAGTGAGGTCTCATCAGTGTTCTGTATAATGGCATGAGCACTTTCCTCTTTCTACTGCTAATACTTCTCCATGAGATGAAGTTGTTTGGATTACTGCCTTAAAGGTGTGTCCCTTTAAGGTGTTTAACCATTTTCTAATGGTTTCACACCTAAGTTCGTCTTTGAGCACTCAGCCACACTCCTCCTCCGGTGTAGGAAAGCAGGAAGGGAAGTATTGCTGGTGATAAGCTGACTCTCTGTATCACCATTACTCACTGCTTCCCCTCTTCCTCTCCTTTAGAGGTAGAGCAGGGGAGGCAAAAGGTAGGGCGGATAAGTGCCCAAGGACCAACGTAGGTGTTAAACTGTTCAAAAATGGTTTCTTACCTGAAGATATGACTGTCCTCCAGGACTCCAGTCCCCCAAACAGCTTCATTCAGATGAAGTCTTTTGAGAATGTAGTGTTCCTTTATTGTATGCATTTGGCACACACTTTATTTTCCTTGGGAATTTACGATAACAACTTCAACAGATTTAAGTTATTTTTGTGCTGGGCGCTGACTTGTCTGACTGCTCTGCCTCTGAACTTTCACTCCAAATCTGTGCCTTTAATCAGGTAGCTTCTATCTAGGCCCCACTGACCGGCTGAAAGTGTATCAGTCAGCAGACTAATTTAGCCTGCCATTTGGCTCAGTCCAAATCTTTAATAAGGAAGTAATTGTGGATTGGAAGTCCAGAGGCAAACTGGTGCCAGGACCTTCTTACACTATAACGTTGTCGTCCTGATAAGGTTAATGTGCCCGGATAGGTCCTTTTAAAGGGTTACTCCAACCATCATGACTACTTCAGTGATTTAAAATGGTCATGGTGTTAGGATTCTGTGCAGTGTTTCAGTTTGAAAGGTATGATGGGTATTAGGAACTCTGTTCTGGGATGCCTAATGTCAATTCTCTGCAAGTTTGAAATTTGTCATCAGTGCACACATCTTACTGGTGACAGACATGCTTAACACTCCTAGCACCATAACCACTACAGAATGCTGATTAAGGTGCCTGCTGCTTTCCACACCCACTTGTAAAGTATCTTTAATGAGGCTGCATATCAAAAGGAAATAAAGACCAAAGAGCCTTCTACAACAGGAACTTGGAATTTATATCATGCGACTCCCAGGACATGCAGTTCTAGATGCCTGGCAGGAAGATTTTTTATTTATTTTTTATTTTTTTAATTATTATTATTATTATTATTATTATATTAGGCAGGGCTCCTTTGGGTGTAGTTGGTGTCCAGCAGGGACAATTTCTCCGGCAGGCTTACCGAGACGCCATGATGGGGGCCGTCTGCTGTTGCAGGAAGGTGTGCGGAACGTCAGCAGCCTCCCACTCATCACGATGCTCAGAACTAGTGGCTGCTTGGATTCTGCATCATATCATATCCTGGGTGCTAACACACTCTAAAGGGTAGAGGGAGCATGGAACAGGCTGCACATCCACGGAATATCAGCTGCTGGTAGCTCGTGTATGGGTCGGTGTGCAGTGTATGTTCCACTGTCTGGTGTGGGATTATGGATCAGTCTGTGTTCAAAACCACATTCAGTCAGGGTGCACATCAAATGCAGCCAACACACCACATTTGCGTTCAGCAGTCTGTACTCTCCGCATGACATACAGCCAGTGTTCACCACACGCACATGACACACTGCAAGCACACACTATGAAAAAGGAGTCTATGGGAGGGCATAGTGCAAACTACTTTAACCCCATAAGGACACGTGACATGTCATGATTCCCTTTTATTCCAGAAGTTTGGTCCTTAAGGGGTTTAAGGATCATTATAGGGTCAGGAACACAAACCTGTATTCCTGACCCTATTGTGTTAAAACCACCATCTAGCGCCCCTGGGCCCCTCATGCCTCCATACATATAGCAAAATCTTACTGCAGTCAAGCCTGAAGCTGTAGATCTGCATGCTGTTAGACTCAGAAAAAAGCAAGCTGCCTGCTGACCTCATCAGAAGTGGTGGCCTGATCCAATCACAATGCTTCCCCATAGGATTAGCTAAGACTGACAAAGAGGCAGATCAGGGGCAGAGCCAGCAAGATTTAAACACAGCTGTGGCCAATCGGCATCTCCTTATGGAGATGAATTGAAGTTCACTGTCTGCATTCAGAGGGAGGAGATACTGAATCTGTGGATGCATTTTAGGGAGCCATGACCCAGGAAGGATCTCTAACAGCTATCTAAGGAGTGGCCAGTGAAGTGATCACTAGGCTGTAATGTAAACACTGCATTTTCTCTGAAAAGACAGTGATTACAGCAAAAAGTCTGAAGGTAATGATTCTACTCACCAGAACAAATTCAATAAGCTGTAGTTGTTCTGGTGACAATATTGTCCCTTTAACACTGGCTATTCTGTCTAGTCACAACATGGCTACTTTTGCCTCAGTTTTAGCATTTGAATTTATAAGGCATAGAGATTTTTTTCCTTATTGGCTATTTTTTGTCTCCATTCCTCATTTCAGATGTATTTTGTGAAATTTCAGAGTTCAGCAAATAACCCTGTACATGTCCAGGTCTTATTTTGTGTTCAGACAATGATTGTCAGGTAGATTGGGGTACCACATTAGTCCCTTAAACATGTAGATGTAAAATAAATAAAAAAATTTTTAAAAATACATGTTCTGTTAGACAAAATAATACTAATGCATAGTTTGAAATCCACATTTTTATTTTTATTTTATTTTTTTGTAAAAAGAATAAACAGAACCTATATTTTGTTTTCAGATACTCCTGTCGATCGATATATATATATATATAGATAGATAGATAGATACACACACACACAAAACTTAAACTTATTTTTTATTTTACAGGGATTCATTAAAGATGTCCATGAAGATTCACTTACAGTTGTTTTTGAAAACAAGTAAGTATATTTTCTCAAGATTGTTTTATGCAGTATTTGCACTCAATTGGTTTACTTATTTACTGTTCTGTTTTCTTAGCTGGCAACCAGAGCGTCAGGTTCCATTCCATGAAGTTCGAATGCCACCGTTACCCGATATTAAGAAAGAAATTACAGAGGGGGATGATGTAGAAGTAAGTTTCTGATTTAAATAGTTATTGGATCTATTAAGGAATTTGGACTATCAAACTTGTGCACAAGTCATATTCTCCTGCTACAAACAAATCAAATTCCTGTTTTATGTCTGTAAGACTCCACAGGTGATGGATGAATTAATTTGTGCATAGCTTAGCATGAATTTGATTCGTCCGTCGCAGCTGTAAAGGATTTCTTCACAAGTTTATTAAATACTACATTCTCCTTATTAAAGACTGCCTGTCACTTTTCCTGAACGTGACAGTCCCCCTGTTCATTGCTGTGGTAAATGCTACTGAAACATTTACTGGAGTGATTAGTGAATTTAAAACACGTGTAGTAATTTGAATTCAGGCACTGTCATCTTCTCATGATGCTCCTAGTCCATTCCTGTATGATCAAGCATCATCTTGCAGAAAGAGCCCATTTGGCCTCAGGTATTTCTTTCATGGTTCCATACCCTTGTATGCTCCCTCACAGCATAAATGGCACCATGGTGTGGGGGGAGATTGTTAACCTGACATCTATGTGCCTTGCTGTGTCTTAACAGCCCTACATAGGATGTAGCAAAAACTTGCATTGAAGTATTTTCTTAAAGATTACCAGTGCCATAATTTTATGTATTGTGATCAAGACACTAGTCTTTCAGACAGGCTAAATGCATTGCAATACAAGCCATTGTAGTGGGTATTATAGTAGCATCATGTTTGGCACTGTCCTCTAGTAGTATCAGAACATCCTGAGGTTCGCTCATGAACCAACACCTTGCTGTCTATAGCACTATGTTGCACTTGCATTGCATGTATTTGATAAGTTTTAGAACTGACACATTTAGCCAATGAATGCTGTCCAAACTTGGACAAAATTGAGAAGAGCAACTCTGTTATGGATGTCCTTGATACTGCAGAATAAGTTGAATAAGCACAAAAGTGTATTGATTATGTATTGTGTTCCATCAAACAGTTTGATTATGGGAGTTAATCATCCCATAATGCTAATAGCTGCTTGCCTGCTCTTCCTATGTTCTGGTGCCATCTGCTTATAAACTATTTTCGGCATACACCTCGTTTGCTGTTGGTAAAACTAAAACCTCCATAGAATTGTCGAACACCAGGTACCTTGTTGGGCACAGGTAAAAACCGTAAACAACCAATAAACAGTCAGGTGATGAGTCACTCCCATACATTCCACACAATCCCTCCCCTCTGCTTAGGAGTTAATTGAGTTAATTACTGTATCAACTCAATAATCTCCAAACAAAAAAATGAAAGTTATTCCACATTTTCAGAAGTACCTTAAAAACCTATCATACTCCCACAATTCATCCCTTGCTAGCCCCGATTTGGGGGAGCAACATACTGAAAAATCACCCAGATCGGTTCAGGGGCTTGACAATTCTATGGAGGTTTTCGTTTTACCGACCGCACACAAGGTGTATGACGAAAATAGTTCCATGCGTCTGGGCTGTGCGGTCAGTCTACGTTAGAGAGTTTGAATTACACTAAATTACCTTTAAAACTGGTTTGTGCTTTAGTTTGTTGAAATCCCCTCGTTCGTGTGGTTTTCACCGAATGCCACTCTGTTCCCCTGAGTTTACACAAACTTACATGAGGGTGGAAGTCTCTGCGGTGTTCGTGCTGTCAAGTGTCCGATTTGCGTTCCAGACACTCAACGACCAAACCCCGCTAGTGCAGTTCATATTCTAAGATGGCCGCAGCCACGTGTTCGCATATACGAACGGCAGCCACCCAGGGGATCACCCAGTTGGTTCGTGTCTTTGTAGTTAAGAGAGTGTGTACAGGGTTAGGAAGGTCAATTGGCGCCACGCTCCTCGCATGGTTGGCCTGGTGGTTCGGTATTTAGTTTATTTGTCGAATCATATAGGGAAAGTCAGCTGAAGTAGAGATAATACCGAACAACCATACGAAAGGACACAATGTAATAATTTGTTACTTGTTTCCCCAAGTAACGAACAGTAGCAACACTAGAAAATTAACCCCTTAAGGACGGAGCCAAATGTACACGTTTGAACAAAACAAAATGTAAACAAAACCTGGCATTTGCGCTACATGTCTGTCCAACCGTAATTCACCTCTTTCATAGTAAATGCACCCACCCTTATTATATATCATTTTATTCAGGGGAAACAGGGCTTTCATTTAATATCAAATATTTAGCTATGAAACATAATTTAATATGAAAAAAATGGGAGAAAATACGATTTTATTTTTTTTAGTTCTACATGACATTTTAACTGTCAATGTCATTCTACTGTTTGCTTTTACTGCAATAAAATACACACATTTGTATTCAGCAAAGTAAAACAGTACCCCCAATGTACAGGTTTTATGGCGTTTTGGGAAGTTACAGGGTTAAATATAGCACGTTACGTTTGCCATTGAAATTCGCCAGATTGGTTACGTTGCCTTTGAGACTGTATAGTAGCCCAGGAATTAAATTTACACCCATAATGGCATACCATTTGCAATAGTAGACAACCCAGGGTATTGCAAATGGGGTATGTCCAGTCTTTTTTAGTAGCCATTTGGTTACAAACACTGGATAAAGTTAGCGTTAGTATTTGTGTGTGTGAAAAATGCAAAAAAAGCCAATTTTGGCCAGTGTTTGTGACTAAGTGGCTACTAAAAAAGACTGGACAATACCCCCTTTGCAATACCTTGGGTTGTCTTCTTTTGCAAATGGTATGCCATCATAGGGGTAATTTAAATCTTGGGCTACCATAGGGTCTCAAAGGCACCGTAACCAATCTGGCAAATTTTAATGTGAAAAAAATGAAACACAAGCCTTATATTTGACGATGTAACTTTTGAATACACCATAAAACCTGTACATGAGAGGTACTGTTGTACTCGGGAGACTTCGCTGAACACAAATATTTGTGTTTCAAAACAGTAAAAAGTATCACAGCAATATCGTCCGTGTAAGTGCTGTTTGTGCGTGGAAAAAATGCAAAAAAAGTCACTTTTACTGGCAATTATCATCGTTGTAATACATTTTGAGGTCCTCGCAAGGACCTCACTCTCACATGGCTGGGGGGGCTGCAGGAAAAAAAACAAAAACAAAGGGCGTACTATTACGCCTGGCGGCGTTTAGTGCCGCCTAAAATAGGACGTAATAGTATGCCCTCCGGTCTTAAGGGGGTTAAAGGCACACAAGGGGTATGGACAGCCCCTAGTACAAAGAGGGGTACTGTGGCAAAGCCCATTAGGCTACAGCCTATTTTTTTTTATTCAAATACCTTGTTTAGGGATTAACCATGCAAAGATCTTAAAATGCCAATTTTCTACTATTTTTTTATTTGTTTTGTTTGCCTTTTTAATTCTTCCTCCTACCCAAATAACTCCTTGTCATCAATCTGGTCTTGTGATCAAGTACTTACTCAAACCTCTTCTATATCTTTGTCAAATAACTTATGTCTGTCCTTCCTTTCAGTTCCCTTTATTTCTCTTTCTTATAGTCTCTCAGTTTCTACAGTGCTTTCCTATGGACGCTTGCGTCTTCTCACTGTGATTTTCACAGTGAGAAGCACACAAGCGCCTCTAGCGGCTGTCAGTGAGACAGCCACTAGAGGATTTGGAGGCTGGATTAACCCATTTATAAACATAGCTGTTTCTCTGAAACTATGTTTATAAAAAAAGGGGGTTAATCCTAGAGGGACCTGGCACCCAGACCACTTCATTAAGCTGAAGTGGTCTGGGTGCCTAGAGTGTTCCTTTAATGGTGAATGCAATAACTCCACTTAAATGGTGTTAGCAATAATTTGTTTCTAAGATCGGACAGAAATTATCGAAATGTAAAGGTATCTTGTAAGCCTTTTCAAACTTTAAGGGACATTTCACTACCCAATTTAGTAAAATAAGTCACTATTTAGTAGATATGTCCCCAATGAAAGCATGCTTGATTATTTTTTTTTTCATTGGGTCTATATCAAATAAAGCAATTTACAAAAGCTGCAGCTCTCTTGTCTTCAGACTTTCTGTGGCTGTCTAATCAGACTTCCCAGTGCAGCTCAATGAGAAGTCTTTGCAAGGTAGGTGCTCTGAGCAATAACTTCTTTAGAAGATTAGCTTCACTGCGCTAAACAACAAGGAAATAACAACCTAAACTAGGTCGGTGTAACAAGGTTAATTTATAAAAGTACACATTTCTGTTCAGGTCTGCACTTCTTGTAAATGGGAAAGAAAAAGTAGACACTATTCACATAAACCACTTCAACAAGCTAAAGTCTTTAGGTGTTGGGTGTGTGTGTCTTTAACGTCCTTACACTTCCTAATTTGTCATACATTTTTACTTCTTTTGTTAATGTTTAAATGAAAGTGCATCTGTATGTTATCATATTTTCCATTTTGTTACAGAATGTTTTTTTTGATTGTGTAAATTAAGTATTAAGGTTTAGCTATATATACATTGCAAATCAGTGATCTAGGACTAGTTTCATTAGGTTGAGTTTGAATAATATGTTGTCACATCACATCTGGTATTGTATTATTTGTATCTAAATCAGTGTTTTCCTTTTAGGTTTACTCCAGAGCTAATGACCAAGAACCATGTGGTTGGTGGCTTGCTAAAGTACGAATGATGAAAGGAGAGGTAAGCATTAATGTTTACATAAATATATTTTATCCTTCTGTGTATTTGATAGTGCAAAATCTCTTTAATTTAGCATTCGTATATAAGGGACACTGTAGGCACCCAGTCCACTTAAGCTTATTGAAGTGGTCTGGGTGCAAACTCCCATAACCCTTAACACTGAGCATGTAGTTTTTATAAACTGCAATAATTACTTGCTAAGGTTAACTCCTCCTCTACTGGCTGTCTACCAGACAGTCACTAGAGGGACTTTAGAGTGGATAGGCTACTTTTGGTCACCTAAATGATTTTGGATGTCCTCACACTATGCATGAGGACTTCCAGTGTCCCCATTGGAAAACATTGAATAATCCTTTCCTATGGGGAAACCCAAATGCGAGTGCGGCCATTGCCACGCATGCACATTAGGTCTCCCCCGACTGATGTCTGTGGGGGAGGATCGTGGGCAGAGCTGAGCCAGTGCTGAGGGACATCGGTGCTTGAACCAGGTAAGTCCAGCACAGGGGAGAGACCTTAACAGAGGGGGAAAATATAGTGCAAGGAGCAACAAAGTTGTTAATTGTTAATATTTAGGTAGTATGCTGCCTGAGATTATCTGCGATAAGGAGAAAACACCTCTGGTGACAGCTGCCTCTCCAATGTGTAATCCCCACTGGTATTTGGTAGATTTGCACATACATGTTGTGGTTTCGGAAAGGAGGTGGTCGGTATTTTCCCCGTTCATTACAGGACATATTTGCATGTATGGTATTCTAAAACATGATCTTCCCACTAAAAGAGTGAGTGTGTGTGTACTGCCTCTTTGAAAATAAACTTATTTTTACTATGTTAAGCAGTCTGATCGTTTTCCAACTTACTTTTTTAAATTTTATTTTAGTTTTATGTTATCGAATATGCTGCTTGTGATGCTACCTACAATGAAATAGTAACTTTTGAACGACTTCGACCTGTGAACCAGAACAAAGCCGTTACAAAGAATTCTTTTTTGAAGTGCACTGTGGATGTTCCAGAAGATTTAAGAGAAGCGTGAGTTTTTTTTTTTTTTTTTTTTTAAAGTTGTAGAATTTCAGAAAAGCAAATTTTATGATACAAAGGCATTGTACTACATTATAAAAGATGCATGTAAATCATCTAGGTGTTTAAGCATTTTGGTCTGTTGGCCAAATTCGCTATACAAAGGATTGCTGCACTTGTTTCCCTTTTTAGAGCTGCATTATGTTCTCCACATATAGATGGCAGTACTTATAGCTGGGTATTTTTTCATAACTACACTTGTAACCATCAAGGACCTACAATTTGAAATGGGTCCCTGATCCTAAGTATCTGTAAATATAGGACATCATCCCATCTACTGCATATCTGAAGCATTGGCATTGCTCAGGATGCTATTCAGCATTGGTTTGCAGAGGAGCCTTTTTTTATTGAAATCTTGGGCAGCAGATACAGCATATAGGAATCTCTTTGAGAAAAGAAGACAACTGCCACATAAGATACACTTTTGAAACAGATGTCAGAAGGAAAGTAAGCTCTGCAATGAGAGAGCCAGGCCTTAAAGTTATCTTGCCACTACAAGCCTTGAGGATCATTAGGGCTGAATTTCTACTCGCCAATGGCTAATATAGAATGGACGTTTTGAGCTCTTGTTATGTATTAGAATTTTCAGAAAAACCACAACCATCTTTCCTGGGGTTCTGAAGGGAATTCTTTAGTTACATAGACTGAAAAGAGACCTGTGTCCATCAAGTTCAGCCTTCCTATCATCTTTTTTTGTTGTTGTTCCAAAAGAAGGCAAAAAAAAGTTTGACGCACTTCCAATTTTGGGCCAAAACTAGGGCAAAAAATCATTCTTGACCCCAGAATGGCAGTCAGATTTATCCTTGGATCAAGTAGCTATTACCCTACAGTTGAAAATTTATATAATTGAATATTATGTTTTTGCAAGTAAGAATCTAGTTGCTGTTTAAACATCTGTACAGACTCTGATAAAACCACTTCTTCATGCAGAGAATTCCATATCCTTATTGTTATTACAGTAAAAAAACGTTTTCCTTAAACTAAATTCACTTTCTTCCAGTCTAAACGCATGACTGTGTGTCTTATGTGTAGCCCTGTTTGTAAATAGATTTCACACAATAGCTTGTATTGGCCCGGGTTATATTTTTATAATGTTATCATATCCCCCCTGAGGAAATGTTTCTTTCTAAACTAAAGAGGTTTAAATTTGTTAACCTTTCTTCATAGCTAAAAATTGCACAGCATATTCAAGATCTGTGTTATCAGTGATTTATAGAGATGCAAAATTATATTCTAATCCCGAGAATGAATGCCGTTTTTCATTCATGACAATTTCTTACTGGCCTTAACCATTGCTGATTGACATTGCACATTGTTGCATAGTTTGTTGTCTATAACAATATGTAAATCCTTATCGTGTTTTGTTATCCCTAATTTGCTTCCATTTAGGGTGTAAGTTGTTTGTGCATACTTTACGCCGAAGTGCATAACTTTGCATTTTTCTACAATAAATTAAATCTGCCATTTGAGTGCCCAGTCCCCATGTCTATCTAAATTCCTCTGTAGCAAAGTAATATCTTGCTCACATTTGTATCACTTTACAGAGTTTTGTGTCGTATGCAAACACTGAAACTTGACTTTCAATGCTTTTTCAAGATCATTTTAAAACATGTTAAATAGAAGAGGTCCCAGAACAGAACCCCGAAGGACACCACTTACCACCTCTGTCCAGGTTGAAAATTTACCATTAATGACTACTCTCTTTATTTTTAATGCAATGTTCTACCCAAGAACACGAATTCTCATCTAGACCAATTTCTTAAAATTGAGTTTGAACACTAATCTTTTGTGTAAAACTGTATCAAACGCCTTGGCAAAAACCAAGTAGATCACATCCACTGCTACACCCTGATCTATGCTTCTACATACTTTGTAGAATGCAATTTAGTTAGTTTGACACGACACATGCTTTATAAAAGCATGCAGATTTTTGCTGATAACCACGTTCTTAATGAATTATTGAATATTATCCCTTAACCTTTCAAATATTTTCTCCGCCACAGAGGTTAAGTTCACAGGCCTATAATTTCCAGGCATTGATTTTGAACCCTTTTTGAATAATGGAACCACATCTGCCTTCCTCCACTCTGCTGGTATAATTCTTGAAAGAAACTAATCTTGAAAGATTAAATACAGAGGTTCATTTGTTTCCACACTTGGTTCCTTAAGTACTCATGGGTGAATACTGTCAGGCCCTGGAGCTTTGTTTATATTAACTTTCTTTAGTTACTGCAGCACCTTGTCTTGAGTCACCCAATTACAATTTTTTTTTTTTCTGCAAGTTTTTTGCAGCAATCATTTGCATATATATAGCGCCATAGGTTCTTCCTTAATATATACGGAGGAGAAATAGTTATTTAAAATGTCTGCCTTTTGTGATCTTCATTAACTAACAAACCCATCCTGGTTTTGAGATTACCTACACGTTCATTTTTTTTTTTTTTTTAATTTATGTACTTAAAAAATGCTTTGGGGTTGGTTTTGCTCTCATTGGCTATCACTTTCTCATTTTGTAGCTTAGCAAATCTAATTGCCTTTTTGCACGCATTATTGGCTTCCTTATATCTTTGATTTGTCCGATTTTTAAAGGCTTTAAATGCTCTTTTCTTATTTTTAATTTCTTGATGCACTTTCCCTTTTAAGTCACATTGGTTTCAACGTGTTTCTTTTATATTTATTACCCAATGGTACATACTGAGAAAATGTAACTCTTCTAATATTTGTTTGCAGATATTCCATTTATTCTCAGTGTTGGTCACCTAATGGCGCTGGATGTCCTTGCGCTTTTGTATGAGGACGTCCAGCTTCACCAGAATCCCCATAGGAAATCATTGAACAACGCTTCCCTATGGGGAAATCCTAATGTGAGCGTAGCCTTGGCCACGCACGCACATGGGGTATCTCCCGCCAGCTGACGTCGGCGGGGGAGGAGTATGGGTGGAGCTTTGCCAGTGTTGAGTGCACCACGTGGGGATGGGAGGAGGGTGTGGAGGCACCTAGACAGAGGGGGGAACTATAGTGTCAGGAAAAAAGTTTGGTTTCCTGTCACTATGGTTTCCCTTTAAGGGAGCGTTTGCCAGTTTTTTTTTTCAGGTATATTGTCTCCTGTCCTCCTCCTTCTGATACTGGAAACATGGCCTTAATGACCGCAACAACCATTTTTGCTAGTACTCGTTTGTTCTAGTTTTTCTATATATATATGTGGGTGAGACCTTTTTAGAGTGTCTTCTTACATTTTTTTCCATGCACCTCTTGTGTCAGTTTTGCAAATGGCTCCTGTGAAGTGGTCCAGGGAGAGTTAGGTTTAATTTAAGTACCCCATGTAGGTTACCATGGACTACAGGTCAGCAAAACTGCTGCTTTATTCCTCTGGAAATATTTTGTGTAGGAGCCTCTAAGAATTTTATTTATTTTATTTATAGATGTGCAAGTGAAAGTGTGCATAAAGAATTCAAGAAAGCAGTTGGAGCCTGTCGAGTTTATTTTCATGCAGAGACCAATCAGTTAATGATATTGGTGAGTATATTTCATAAATGTATGTATATATTCTCCTCTCTCCCTTATATTATAGTAGTTTGTTTCTATATATGTATAAAAACGGTTTTGGAGCCAACCTGATGATAAAAATATATTACTGGATTGAATTGCAGCTAAGTTTACAAAAAGGTCCAAGTTGCATTGTAAAACCCAAAAAAGCCAGATTATAACACTTGTAATGGTTTACGTTAATGATGAATGTAAAATACTTTGTGATTGTTAAAGAAACAAACATGTATTCCTGAAACTAGTGTTAAAAACATAACTTAGGTGGCTGCCCCTCTTGCCGCCTTAAAAAGGGGTTAAATTGTTTTTATTCCAGCGTGAGGATCCCTGATTTGCCCAGAGAGTTGATGACCTCAGTCAATCCCATAGGAAATCACTGGGAGGCTATTGTGCATGTGTGGAATGCAGTGCTACACCAATCCGCATCTCCTCATTGAAATGCATCAAATTAATGCATTTCTGTGGGGAAAGTTCAGCGCCTCCAAGCACTCTACATTGTTCAGCACCGGTCCAGGAAGAACCTCTAGTGGCCGTCTGACCGCCACTGGAGGTATCACTTGGCAGTCATTTAAACACTACCTTTTCTCTGAAGAGGCAATGTCTACATTAAAATGCCTGCAGGGACTCCCTATACACCAGAACAACTACAGTAATAGTGTCCCTTTAAATATTACAAGTGGATGTCAACTCATATATAATAAAATTCCTGCTGATTGCAGTTGTTGTCTGCTCACATCTTTAAGATGTGAATCTAAATTGGCCATATTGAAACTATTCAGTAAAGAAACTCTTCCCATCCCTAGCTGAACAATGGTTTGTGTATCCTTTAAATGTGCCTTTTCTCTCCATGGCTATGACTATCTCTGTATAGCTGTAGCTTTACCAACTTTATTTTCTGCCTTTTAATGGGTACTATAAACACTATAAGCCTTCCACAATGACGCTGTAGTGGTCATTAAACAAGGAGGTCCCTGGCACCACCCGACAGCAAACTTTTAAACAGTTTACAGTGGTTTGACACATGGCTCTGACAAACACCTGCACAGTTTCCAGTTTGAACTGATACACTAAAGGTAAAATTCATACTTCTGCATTCTCATACCAGTTCATATCAAGTTTGGACATTATTAGTTGGCTGAGAGCATCAGCTGACTGCTTTTGACAGTTTACCATGTGCCAAACTAAGTCATGATCTTTTATTTTTCTTTTACCCTCCCAAGTCTGCAAGTGAAGCAACTGTGAAGAGAGTTAATATACTGAGTGACATGCACTTGCGCAGCATTCGAACTAAACTGATGCTCATGTCGAGGAATGAAGAGGCCACCAAACATTTAGAAGTGAGTTTACTTACCAATTATTTCTTCAATGCATGCCCTGCAACTGATTTAGCTAATATAAGCTTTTGGTAGTATCCTGCTAATCTTTGGAGAAAACTTTATGTATCATGCCTCTGTGTATAGATTATTTTTTCATGTCTGTTAGATGCGCACTGTTTTTAATCGCAAAACATCTAGCCTTGTGAGTGTTTTGGGGATTAAGACCATTATGAGGCACACATTTTATGTGCTTATTAAATAAAATGTTTGAGGCAGGAGGTAACATTGTACTCCATGTGCACCAATGTAAATGTTCCTGTATAGCAACACTTCAAATCAGCCATCATTACTCTGTTCTGCTGGGGACACTGATAATTCCAGAGTTATTGAGCATTGGTTTGATAATTTTCCTGCTATATTATGTAATTAAAAGCCTATTTCGATGCAGCATTGCTTTTGGAACATTTTATTGTATGTGCTTATCACCAACCTAGTAACAGTTACCCTCTGAATTTTTCCATTGATTTTTCTTTTCATTCTTCAAGTGTACAAAGCAGCTTGCAGCAGCATTTCATGAGGAATTTGTTGTTCGAGAAGATTTAATGGGTCTGGCTATTGGGACTCATGGGAACAACATTCAGCAAGCCAGGAAGGTACCAGGTATTACAGCTATTGAGTTGGAAGAAGACAGTGGTACTTTTCGAATCTACGGTGAGGTGAGTCTATTTTCTTCCACAAGGTTTATAAATACAGTGGTGTGGTTTTATTTTAATTATTTTTATTTTTTTATATAATTCTTTATTTTTGTGGTGCATAGATATACATATAGGTTTGTACTGACCTAATAGTTAAGGCATATATGACAAGAAAACATTACTGTTTATGTCAAGGAGTATTGCACTCATTTTTGTAAAAGTATGACCAGCAATATGAATATGATCATCCTGCCTTATAACTAAAACATTAATGGGGAAACTTGCTTGAGAAGATGATTAGTAGGAAAGTGTAGGTGATAAACTAGTGAGAGGAAACGGGAACAGAATGTCAGTTAAGATTATGAAACAGACAAAAGATAAACACGCTTAAGTAACTGACACATTGCATATGAAGAGGTACCACTGTACAATAGACTATACAAGAGCTGTCGGCATATAGCAAGCCATGTGGTATTGGTACCTAGCCCAGCCTATGCCGGACATATAATGCATGAAGACCCAGAGAAAGATCACAGGTGTCCAACTGAACTGTACCCTTCCAGCTACAGACCGCTGTACCATATGTGTGAGCGGTGTTTCAGGGATTGTCCCTGGCAGGTAATGGCACATTTTCGTAGCATGGTGGATAGGGGCATTCTGAGGGTCTGAACGGTGTATCAGGGGGTGTCTCATGGTGTATCTTTGTCCAGGCAGTGTCCTCACAGTCGGCACTGCGTCAGGGTCTTGCCCAGTGTGTCTCAGCTTGGTCTTGCTTTGCAGTGTGTCTTGTTGGGGCAAAGCCGCAGTAGTAGACCTCTCCGTCCATCAGTGAGTCCATTCAGGTCAAGTAATAGTGTGGGAGGCCATTCGAGTCCAGAAATCCCAGCACAGCTTGTTAAACCTGCAGTCAATTCTATGCACCCAGTTCTGGGTCCACTGGATGAAGTGGAGGAAGCAATGCTTCTGCCATCTTGGATTTGCCACATGGTCACAGTAACTGTGGAGCACTATTTGTTCACTGTAGAGTACTAAGTATGCCCAGGGGGGACCGGGGGTTGATGGGGCATCTGTAGGTTCACTGCAGGATGTGCTGCTCCAAGCAGGAGATCTGAAGTCTCTCCCAGCTGATGAGGCAGAATAGATTTGCAGGAGCAATAATTTCAGAACTTTCCATGTCCCCTTTAGTCAGGATGTCTGCTGTGCTTAACTCAGAACCATTTGCTGTGAGAAAAGTGCAATTTTAGCTGGATTAAGGCTTTTATATGCAGGAGCTATTGGAAAACACGTCTGGCCAGCATGAAAGTTAGGCCCCGACCCCATAAATACAGTACTTTGAAGTACTTTTTGTGTATCTGGTTATTTGTTAATTAAGATTTATAGCTCATATACAAATCTGTATTTCACAAGAATGATTTCCTCCACTATTATACAGGCAAAACGTTCATATGTTCTTATATAAACGGCCAAAACTCCCATCACCTAACAAACTGAGATGAAGATAAAATACTGAGAGCGAGATAGATATGTACGAATAGATGAAATGGTTCAATAGGGACAGGCTGCTATAATGACCGCTCATTACAAATTACCTCTCTCTCTGTTGAAATTAGCTGGAATTGAACCTCTGCCTATAATAGCTAAGTAAATCACTGTGTGAAATAGATACAAATTGGCAAGATTATATTTAATATTTGTATTGTATACCACCCTGATAGATGTATTACAATTGTTGTTTTTAGCAACTAGTTAAGATTGACTAAAGCTATGTTAATATACAGGAGTTTTTGTTAACCTTAACTATGTTTAGATGGTCATCCAATTAATTCTTTCAACTGGGTGTTTTTGTTTTTTATTGGTCTCAATTATGGAAAGTTGAGAGATTTAGTTTATTTTTGTTCCTTCATATTGCTGTATAATATGTAGGAAAAGTGTGATTTATTATGTTAATAAGAAGAGTACTCATTGTGTGATTCAGATTTGAACGATCATCAATACTGCTTGATTAACCTTCAGGCTGTGTGTGATGGTTTCCAGTCTCTCAAATGGCATGCCTTGGCTATCAGCTAAGGCATATTATTACTGTGGTCACAATTACTCTGCCTAGGTGCAAATCTACTCAACTGTTATCTATTGGGGTTAGTGTTAGAAATCGCATCAAAGATTGACACTGGTTAGTATGGTGACAGTTTTCTGGTAAGCATGTAATCAGGCACATCTAAAGTATAGCATGTCTTCAATGTGATTTATGTACATGGGAGAAGCAGAAAAATACAAATTTGGGACACAAAATGCCTGTGATATTACTACCATAACTACCTTGGTCACAAATGCGTAAAATCTCAAAAGAGCACTTGTCCTTACTTGATTAATGTTCATGTGTTTGTGTGGTGGTTTTTTATTTTATTTTTAACTTGTTTTATCTGGTTACAGATGTTCACGTGTGTGTGTATAGGTGTATATGTATATATGTGTGTGTATATATATGTGTGTGTGTGTATGTGTATATATTTATTTATTTTTGTTTTTCCTATGTAGAGTGCTGAAGCGGTCAGGAAGGCAAGGAGTTACTTAGAATTTGTGGAAGATTTCATTCAGGTTCCCAGAAATCTTGTCGGTAAGGCTACATTATTAATTTTGAATCATCTTTTGTATTGAATGCTCTTTAAATTGGATTAGAACTTCAAATCTGTGAGTGAAATTTTACTGAACATAATGGTCTCTTTCACTGTAGGAAAAGTCATTGGCAAAAATGGAAAAGTGATTCAAGAGATTGTGGATAAATCTGGAGTGGTTAGGGTGCGGATTGAAGGAGACAATGAAACAAAATTACCCAGAGAAGATGTAAGTTTACATATCCTGCCCCAAATATGGTATTTGCTTTTTAATAGTTATGGGACCTGCATCTTTGTAAGTGTTCATGGTCTCATTATTAAGTGAAAATGGAAAAACAAAAATCAGTCCATGCTAGATTGCGGTCATTTCTCTTTTTAACATATATTTTATAAATCACATTCCAGAGACATGTATATTTTTAAACTGTCAGCTGACAAGTGGACCTTTAAATATATAGCACTTTTATGTAGAGTTGTACTTATGCCAAGGTGAAAATGGAATAGAATCTAGCAAAAAAAAGTGCTCAAGGATCTGTCCATAGTCAAGTGAATTGTTTGTCTGAAAAGTCAGTTGACCAATCGGCTGCACCCCTGCCCGTGCTTTCTGTAACTCCGATTCAGAAGCCGGATGCGGCCTGGGGGACCTGGAGATCAGTGCTGGAGGAAAACCTTTGGGTTTAAACCGTTCAAGAACAGCTTAACCCCTAAAGGTAAGAGAGCACTCAGGTGCCTCCTGGCACAATAACATTTAGATGAAGTTATTATGGTGACCAGAGTGTTACTAAAGACATATTAATATATCTGAAACACAATCTTGGATGTTTTGGTTATGAAATTTGTTTTTCTCTTATCTTCTGTCCTTTCAGGGTATGGTTCCTTTTGTTTTTGTTGGCACCAAGGAGAGTATTGGAAATGTTCAAGTTCTTCTAGAATACCACATTGCATACCTGAAAGTGAGTTACAAACAACTTGGGTTCATAATCTTGGTGGTAGAAATTGTGTTAATAAAGAATATAACAAGTTTTTCTCCCTTCACCCCCCATCCCCCTTAAAATTAGGAGGTAGAACAGCTTAGAATGGAGAGACTCCAGATTGATGAGCAACTTCGTCAAATTGGTATGGGTTTTAGACCATCATCAAGTCGAGGAACCGAAAAGGAAAAGGGCTATGCCACTGATGAAAGTACAGCTTCCTCTGTACGCGGAAGTAGATCATACAGTGGGAGGGGCCGGGGTCGGCGTGGTCCAAACTATACATCTGGTTACGGTATGTCTAATTTGATTCGGTAATTATAAAACTTGTGACACTTGATTTTCAACAAAAATAAACTATTACTTTCATAAACTAATTTACATACTATTGTCATAAACAAGGATCTCACAAATGTAACTTTTACTTAAGGTACAAACTCTGAACTTTCAAATCCTTCTGAAACTGAATCGGAACGAAAAGACGAACTAAGTGACTGGTCACTGGCTGGAGAAGATGACCGTGAAAATAGGCAACAGCGAGACAGTCGAAGGCGTCCTAGCGGAAGAGGGCGTAGTGGGTCTGCTGGTCGCGGCAGAGGTGGATCAAGGGGTGGAAAATCTTCAATCAGCTCTGGTACAAATGTTTTTCCTTTATTTGGTTTTTAGTTAACTTTGTTGTTTTTTAATTTTTTTTTTTCTTTCTTAATTGTGGCATTCATTTGATATCACCCATAAATAATGTAGAGAGCGAGAGTGTTAAGATACATTGTGTCAATCGTATTACGTAATACGTATTGCCATGGGTGGAATGTTCTCAAAATTTTACAGATCACTTCAATATAGTGATCTAGTGTAAGTGCAGCTGTAACAAAGGATATGTTAGCAATTTATCCATTCAGAATGCAAGCAGGACAGATACCTCTATTTGTAAAGCTAATACAAGACACCTGCAAGTGCAAAGTAGGAGAATTCCGTTTACATACTATTAGATGTTAGGGAATTTCAAACTTAAGAGGCTGCAGTAAAAGATTTGAGATTGTGTAAGTGGTATTAGCAGGGGCAAACATGTCTACTATGTGAACAGTAGGTACTTTGCAAATTATGAGCTTGGTTTGTTCAATTTGGGTATGGGTATTGAAGAGTTATGTGATCCATGAATGAGAACTGGCTTCAGGTGGAGAACCATTTGTGCAAGACATTTCTGGGAAGAAAGATGTAACATTTCAAAATGTTGCGCAACTATTTAATCTTTTTATTATGTAAGCAACATTTTCCCTATAAAAGGCATTATAGACAAATGTTTAGAGAGAGGGCAGCATAGATTCAAGCAATTCATGTATAGATTGTACAAGAAAGGATAGATGAGTTTGTCCTTAAAGGACCACTCTAGGCACCCAGACCACTTCAGCTTAATGAAGTGGTCTGGGTGCCAGGTCCTTCTAGGGGTTAACCCATTGTTTTATAAACATAGCAGTTTCAGAGAAACTGCTATGTTTATCAATGGGTTAAGCCTTCCCCCAAAGCCTCTAGCGGCTGTCTCATTGACAGCCGCTAGAGGCGCTTGCATGATTCTCACTGTGAAAATCACAGTGAGAGCATGCAAGCGTCCATCGGAAAGCATTATGAATGCTTTCCTATGCGACTGGCTGCGCGCGCAGCTCTTGCCGTGCGTGCGCATTCAGCCGACGGGGTGGATCGGAGGAGAAGAGGAGGCAGAGAGCTCCCCGCCCAGCGCTGGAAAAGGTACGTTTTTAACCCTTTTCCCCCTTCCAGAGCCGGGCGGTAGGGGGACCCTGAGGGTGGGGGCACCCTCAGGGCACTATAGTGCCAGGAAAACTAGTATGTTTTCCTGGCACTATAGTGGTCCTTTAACCTTTTTTTAAAACATCAAGCATCACAATCTCTACATGGCGATGTAAGGGATATGGTGCCAGGAGTGCCTTATGCCTTCTAACTATTCAAGCTGTTTTGCGAATCACAAAAAAATGCAGTATTGTACTTTGTACGTCTTTGTTTAAAATGCTTTTTGCAGTGGAAACATCATAAGCCAACATGTCTACGTACTGTTATTCTTATTCTTAATTCAATTTTACAGTGCTTAAAGATCCAGACAGTAACCCGTACAGCTTGCTTGATAACACAGAGTCTGATCAGACAGCCGACACAGACGCAAGCGAGTCTCACCATAGCACCAATCGTCGTAGGCGATCCCGCAGGAGGAGGACTGATGAGGATGCTTCTTTAATGGATGGAATGACTGAATCTGACAATGCATCTGTTAATGAAAATGGCTTAGGTACTGCAGCATGTCTTTATTTTTGGAATATTTAGTGAGTTGTAAAAAAATGTGTTTAAATGGAAATATAAAGTCAGTATAGACTTTTACTGATCAACTACAAATACCCTAGAGGGTTATTGTTAAGCTGTTTTAGACTTTTTCTCTTCATGCTAAACTAACTCAAATGGCATATTGAGTACAGTGGAAAACATTTCCTACAAAAGAAGTGGTACTAGAGGTTTGTTGTCACTTTTAGAGAGCCATATATACCGCCGCCTCCTCATTATCTCTGCTGCTATTGGTGATATTTTTAATGGTTTTGGGAATGGAGGCATTGATTGCTCAGTACTCTAAGAACTATCGTTTTAATAGCAAACTGCTTGTTCAACCCCATTTTTATTTTATTTGTTTTCAGTGTTTGTGATCATTATGCTTAAAGTAATTTTAAAGAGATTTTGGTTCATAATTTCATATTATTGTTTAATAGATACTCTAGCACACTTTTTGACACATTTGCCTTCATAAACAAAACGCGTGTTTTCTCTGAGATTAGTTAAAATTTTGATACACTTTACTGTTGCAGATGATAGTGAACAAAAACCCCAGCGACGCAATCGTAGCCGCAGGCGTCGCTTCAGGGGTCAGGCAGAAGATAGACAGCCAGGTAACTAAAGTGGGTGGAGCTAATGGGAATCCTAAAACATGCATGATAATGCACTGCTTTTAAATCCAGATTTTTGCAGTTCTATATTGATAGGAAAGTTAACGTTTCTTTTATTTTTAATTGCAATAAAGTACACTTGAAAGTGCTGCCTTTTTGATGGCTTAAGTACTAAAATCGAATTTCTAATTACTCTGATGGAATGATATTAATTTACTGTGATTTTGTAATACTACTTATGTGTGGGCTATTTTGTTTTTCTTTGAAGTTCAAACTGACCAGATACTAATATATTTGAGATGTAGTATGTTCTTCTCAATTTTGTGCATTGAATATAGAATTGAGATTTGAAACACAGTTTGTCTTTTGATTGCACTGTCTGATGTTTCTTTAACTGATTTATCATGCACCTAATTTGCTTTTGGATTTATATAGATTAGTATATGCATCATATTCACAACTTATGTAAATATTGAATTTAACTATTGGAATTGTTCCTTGGCAAGAAAACAAAAATGTTTACGGAAAATGACATGTCCAACTCTCTCCTGTGATAGTAACTGTGGCAGACTATATCTCAAGAGCTGAATCTCAGAGCAGACAGAGAAACCTACCTAAAGAGACACTGGCTAAAGGCAAGAAGGAAAAGGTAAGATGGAAAATAAATAGGTGTAAATGGCACGACTACCAAATATATCATTTTATTATAAATGTAAATTATTTTACTGCTCAAGGGAGGAACTGGGTTTTAAATATAAACTGTACTTTGCGTATTATTCTGCTTCCAAATACTGTTGGGAATTTAATTCATGAACAATGACCAAAACTTAACAGATGAAGATTTTTTTTGACTGGCCCTTCTGCAAACATTTTGGGGAAAATAAAACTGAAAATAGCAAATTCTCTAAATTAACCTATACATTTAAAAGAAGGGTGTGTTGGTTGATTTTCAAAAGAAATGAAGGTGCTTTTCCTCAGTCTTGAGGAACTGTTGATGAACTAGCATGCTCACATCATGAAATCGTAGCTGAATATTTATTTTCTCTTGCTTATAATGCAACAGGCAGAACTGCTACTTACTAGATGCTGTAAGAGCTCTGTGTAGGAGCAGGTTTTCAGTTAATGTAATGAGAGCGAGAATGAATATATATATTTCTATAACTCTGCAAAATGGTAGCTCCACTCCAGGGTCGTCTTATGGTTTGTAAAGTAAAAGAGGTGTTTTGTTTTTTTGTTTGGTTTTTTTTGAGCTTTTAAAACAAAATCAGCATTTCGGTTTCCTTACAAAACTTTCATCAGGACAAAACATTGCAAAAGAAACCAGTGTATTTATGCCTTTAAAAATTTAAACGCAATAGTCACCCCGCCCCCATGGTGTGCTGCCTATAATGATAAATCGCCAAAATTACAATTTTTTTTTTCAGATATTAAAAACTGACCACAAGACGACCCTGGAGGGCTGTCACTTTTATGAACAGATATATATATCGCCAATTATATGTTTTCAATTTCCTGCTGTTATATCATTTCAGGTGAAAGATGTAATTGAAGAACTTGGATCTTCTGAAAAGGTCATAAATGGCCCAAGAAGTTCCTCAGGCGACAATGCTTCAAAGTCCCAGACCACAGCCCAAGAAAGAAACACTGCAAGCTGTCAAGATGGAAGTAACAAAGAAGCCATACTGAATGGGGTGTCCTAAATGGAAGTTCCTAGTTTACAGTTCCTTTACATTACATTTTACAATAGTGCTTGTACAAGCTTGCCAAAGATAGATTAAGGATCGCCAGTCTTTACACCACACTTTCCGTTCCTCCATTTGGAATAAAGAAAGGGGAGGGATCCTGACACACGTTAAATATGAGTTGATACCTACTGTGTTCTAAATACATCATCAGATGTGCCTTGAGATAGTATACGAAACATTAAAAAAAAAAGTTTAAAAAAAAAAAATGGAAAAAAAGTGCTGGCTATAGGAAACCTTTTTTTTTTTTTTCTCTCAAATATGGCATTGACAGGGGGTGGGGGGGGGGGGGAGGGAATCCTGCATAATATTCGTTCTAAAAGCATTAGTTGCTTTTGTTACATTTCTAATATGCAACCACTTCTTCACCAGAGGAAAACTAGAAAAAATGCAGTCTGAAATATTTTGCACTGAATTGTAACTTCTCCATTGGTTAGGTCTGGAAACTGTTTTGTTTGTTTTTGTTTTTTTTTAGTAAACACATTGTGTGGAGGAAACTGCAGACCACTGGAACACAGACAAATGTTAATCTGCAGAGATACTGGCAGTGACTGTTCTACATTGGAGCTTTGTTTGGTTTATTTATTAAACTGTACAGTATTTAAAAATCAAACTTGGCTATAAACACTAAACCGAACTTAGTCATGTCCACAAAAGGCATAATCCTAACTACTGAAAGATCAATTTCCAGAATGTTTATTCTGTATAAACTGCATATGTTAGTCCTTAGTATGGTATTTTTATTTTTGTTTTGGTTGTTTGATGTGCAATATGTTTTTGTATGCAGGTAGTAAAAAACAAAAAAAAAAACAAAACAAAAAGCAAACAAAAATAAACTTTGATCTTCCATTTTTGATTATCAGCCTAGTTTCCTGTGGGGAGTTATGAAGAATTCTTAACCACTCCATTGTTTTCATCTTTGGCAGAGGAGAGGTTAATAATGCGTGCACCTGTGTCATAGGTTAATTCCAATGGGGATAATTCACCCAACCTATATTAATTAAGGGAATATGGACTGGGGGTGGGGCCGGGAGGAGGGGTATATATCTTTGTACTATATGAAATTTACTTTACATTTCAGTATCACGTCTTTTAAAACTTTATTTGAACCTGCTGATTTTGGCAAAAAATGTGTTGGGTGCTGAAGGTCATAACTGGACAGAAATACATAAAATAAACATCTTTCCAGCACATATCTTTCAAGCATATCTTGTCTGCTTCTTTTTCTTCATCTTTATTTTTGTTCTGTCATGTGACTATTTTACTCTTCCTTTGCCTTGTTTTTCTTGTTAGTTTAGCTGTGTTTATCATATTGCAAAAACAGAAGGATTGTACGAAAGGCATAGTTTCGACTATTTTATGTTTTTCAACTAAATGATCTTGATTAATATTCTGAAACAATACACAGGTGGCTGTTCAGATTAATTTACAAATGAGATACTCTCTTTCCAAGGTCTTTTTAATGTTTACTTATCCCTACATATGTACTTTTAAGCTGTGAAAATAAAATTAAATGTAGAATACATACCTCTTTACCCTGGCAAATGGGCGCCACCATCTTGGCACCCAGTCATTCATTGATAAGATCTTTCCTGCACCTTGCGTTCTGCATAGAGAGAACTTAAAAAGAGAAATGTAAACCTTTTTTGTTTTTCCTTTTCATTTGATATGTTCGAACTGGCGTGGCTTTGTCTGTACTAGATTATGATGTAATTTCTAACTCTTTAAGATGAATTTAAAAGTAAATAGAGCATCTCACCAGATACAGTTAAACAAGTTATTGGTGATTTTTATTTTTTTGAAATGGTGGAAATCCCAGAGAAGTGACCATTTAAAAAGAAAAATTAAAAAAAATAAAATAAATATATATATATATATATATATATATATATATAATATATACACACACACTTTATAATCAATTCCTTTTCTGCACCACTGATTTAATCATCTGAGTACCTGGTAGGTACATACTATCATTTGCTTTTAAAGCTTGTGGGGTTTTGAGTGCATCGGTTTGTTTAAATATGCTATACTGCAGGCCAAAAGAGGCCTTAATACATTTAAATATTTGAACTTCATATTGTAAAACTCCTGAGACAACAAATTTTGTTGTATGATTTTTCACAATATTTGTGTCATTCCTTTTTGTGAGTCTTGCTTTAGCAAGGTGTGTTCTAAGCAATAAAAAGTCCTCCTGTGTTACTTTTATTCCCATGCTTACAAGTTGTATATATTTTGCTTGATATCTATCTATGTCTACTTTTAAAGACCTGCTTCTCGAAAGGTTTTGGAATTTATTAGTGGTCCACTAGAAGTCTACAAATCCTGCCCAATAATATTTGAATCCGTTTATGCAGAGTAAGTTCATGTTTACACAAAATGTAGCGTGAGATGGCTAAATCACTAATTTCCACTCTTTGAAATACTGATTTTTTTTATTTTTTTTTGAGGTGTCAAAATCTTGAAGATTCCCAACAAAGTCATTTCAGCTTTTCAGCCTCCCGAGTTAAATAAAAATGAGTACCAAATAGTTGGGTAATAACATTTAGACCCCAAAAACATAGTTGAGAACTAAATGTACCATTCTTGGTTTATTTGCGCCATTTTGAAAACAAGTGAATAAATGGTAACGACATGGCAGTACATGTACTGTCTTACCGACCGGGTTCCGTTCCTATGACCCAGTCGTAGAACTAATTGGTCAGTAACTGAGGAGTTAAGGGATTCCCTTCTTTGGTGCGCTTGTCTATGTTGGGGGGAAATTTCCCCAAACGTAGATTTAAGGGATTCCCTGCTCTGGTGTGCTTGTTTTTGTTCAGGGAAATATCCCTGAACATAAAGGGATTTCCTGCTCTGCTGCGTTCTAATTCCCACGACGGCTCTCACTTAGCATCTTTTGAGAGTTGGTTGTAGGTGCGAGCCGTCGAAAAACTAGGACCACCTGTAAACTCCATTCATGGATTTTGCTAGGTTTGTCTTAAATGTTTTTACGGGTGGGGGTATCATTTTGCCACCCAACACCTCAGCTTTCTCACTTCTTTACTCCTGACTGACACAGTGAGGAAGGTTTGCTGATGCTCATGACCAATTAGGAGCTTTGTTTTACTTATCTTCCAAGTGTACCTGTAATGGCACTTTCAGAGTTTTAGTTAAAGAGCAGAACTTGTTAGCTATACATTCTACTATTAAAAGTATTGATTTTACTGTAACATTCTTTAAAAGTATGGTCCCTAATTCAACTTTTAGCACAGGGGTCCGTAGCGAGGATTGAATAACGTGAACTGGGAAAACCCCCAAGTTGTTCTCCTGCTTTCTAACACCGCAATCTTCACCCAACAAGTGTTACTCTTGCTTCCTGGGTGAGTATAGGAAAATATAACATAATGCCCCATTGTTCTGATACCAGTATGCTGTTACTGCATCATTAGCGAGATTTGCTCCCAAACATGACCTTGCCCTGTTCAGAGAGGCTGAAAAGGGGGCAAGTCGGGGATTTACACTTATGAGAATTGCATTTGGAACAAGTGACAGCAGCTATAGGTATATAACAGCTGATCAAATAAATATATGGTTTATGATAAATTTATGCAAATTGTTTTTAGATATGTATGTTTATCGCTAAATCTGCCATGAAAGAATTTCCTTAAGCAGAGTCCTTCCTCTCAAATGAGGGGTCCTAAAGCAACATTGAAAATATATTCCTAACATTTTTAAAATGTATTTATAGATTCAGGTGCCACCCCTCCTGTTTTAAACATATGTATAATCCAGGGCTAGGACAGTCTCTTCTTGCAGAGCCACTCCCACAATAAAGTCATCCGGAATAATGATCTGCCTAATTTGATGCTTGTGCATCAGATTAGCGTTATCATTTTGTGTGTGAAGACCTATGAAAATTCACAGATTTTACTTTTACCATGACGTAAAGTCATGATTTTATTAATGACACGGAGGCGAGTATTATGCTGCACTCTTTATTTCCCTCAGCAGCAAAGAAAAAACTTTATAAACATAACCAATAGTAACATTAACAGTCTCAGGTGTAATCTTCCTAGTAACAGGAACAGCCAATCAGGATCCACTTCTCCAGCATAATAGGCTCTGTCAACCAATCCTGTTCCTCTTTATTTGCAATCCCGAAGAAGTAAAATTATCCAATAAAACGAACTGCATAGAACATGATTTTCCCGGAATAGATGGGCAGATTATGCTGTAAGAGAGGAAAAATATGGTAATATCTTTGCATAAAACTTAGTGTATGCATAGTCATAGGTATTCAAGATAATGTTTGGTCAGTGTTGTGTCCAAGTGAATATTGTTGTGTAACCTATACATGTGGGTGTCCAGATAGGTAAGCAGTGATCGTAACTAAGACTTACCTTGATCTAAGTACAACTGTAATGTAACCATCTGGCGATTACAACTGTAACAACTAGACATGGTAAAATGACTTACCGTAGGTCAACTTACCCAACTTCCGTCTATCCTTCCCCCGTCGCCGGGTGGGAGGGAGGGATAATACTCGCCTCCGTGTCATTAATAAAATCATGACTTTACGTCATGGTAATAGTAAAATCTGTGAATTTTATTAAGACACGGAGGCTCCTATTATGCTGGTTTAAAGCTGAGAAACTACCGTTCCTGCAAAGTGGTGTATTGGTTTGAAGTAAAAGTCACGGAAGGTAGATTCTGAAGACCAGTCGGCTGCTTTCAGAATGTCTTCCAGGCGACAACCCATCGAAGAGGCTTTTGAAGCCATTGCTCCTCGTATGGAATGTGGCGAAAATATGGAAGTGTCTATGCCTGCCGTAGCCATGATCCATTTGACCCAGCGAGCCAGGGTCGTGGTAGACACAGGTAGGTGTGGTCTCTGGAAGGAGATGAAGAGTTCATGCCTAGACGGGTCCCGCAACGCCTTGGTGCGAAGTTCATAGGTTCGCAGACATTGAACCGGACACAAGCGAGGTTTGTCAGGAAAGGCTGGATATGTCACCACCTTCGTAGAGGTTTTTGTTCTCCGAGATATATCGAAAGCGACCCCTTCCGGAGTATAAGACCGTGCGGCGACGTCTAAGGCTCTAATGTCTGATACCCGTTTGCAGGATATGAGACATAGTAGCATAACCAGTTTCGCCGACAGGTGTTTCAGAGATAGTGTTGCGTTATCTGGCCAAGATTCGAGGAGGTTGAGGATGATGGAGACGTCCCACAGTACGGAATAGCGTGGTAGCGGAGGTCTTGTGAATCTGATGCCGCGCAAGAGTCGGCATATCAGTGGATGGCGTCCTATCGGTGCGCCCTCGATGCCTTGGTGTGAGTTTGAAATGGCCGATCTGTAGAGGTTCACCGTGCGATATGCTTTGCCGCTTTCAAACAAGGAGGTTAAGAATTGCAGGATCGAAGTCAGAGGAGCTGATATGGGATCCAAATTCCGTTCCATGCACCAATCGTGCCATTTGCGCCAAGCAGATTTATAAGCTTGTCTCGTGCCGGGTGCCCATGCGCTCTCGAGAAGTTGGAGAGTCGATTCCGAAACTCCTTCGATTGAGTAGGGTTCCCGGAAATCAGCCACACCATGAGGTGTAATAAGTCTTGCTGAACCAGGGGGTGGGGGGACCCGTCCGGGTCTCGAAGTAGGTAATCGAAGTGTGGGAGAGTACGGGGTACGTCTATCGCCATCTCCAACAGGGAAGGAAACCATGGTTGAGACGGCCATAATGGCGCCACGAGCACTGCCGTTCCCGTCTGTCGCCGTAGTTGTAGTAGGCAGCGGGGAATCAACGCAAAGGGAGGAAACGCGTAGTTCCTTTCGGAGGACCAGTCCTGAGTAAAGGCATCTGTTGCCAGCGCTGCCGGGTCCGGTCTCCAGCTGAAAAATCTGGGGAGTTGGGTGTTCAAACGGGAAGCAAACAAGTCCTTGTCCAGAGGACCCCATAGGGACTGGATGTCTTGGAAGACCCTGGGTTCCAGGTGCCAGTCGCTGGAATCCCTGAGGTGCCTTGAGTACCAATCCGCCGTGGTATTGTTGAGGCCCGGAATGTACTCTGCTGTGACCGAAATGCCGTGTGCCAGGCAAAATTGCCAAAAGTCTCGTGCCAAATTCGCCAGGACCTTCGATTTCGTGCCGCCCAAGTGATTTATATAACGGACTGCCGATACATTGTCCATCCTCAAAAGGATGGCACATCGGGCTTGAGTTGGAGAAAAACTGCGGATTGCAAAAGAACCGGCCAGGAGTTCTAGGCAATTGATGTGAAGCATCGACTCCACTTCGGCCCACCTGCCACCGGTAGAAACAGTGCCACAGCGTGCGCTCCAGCCGTGCAAGCTCGCATCGGATTCTATGATCATATCCGGTTCGGTACCGAAAATGGCTCGGCCATTCCAGGCGTCCATATGGGATAGCCACCATCTGAGTTCTGTCTTTGCTTCTGTATCCAGAGCGATCATGTCCGTGTATGCGGTCCCGTCTCTCAAATGGGAGGCTTGTAGGCGCTGTAGCGCTCGATAGTGTAAAGGGCCCGGGAAAATGGCCTGTATGGAAGCCGCCAAGAGGCCGACCACTCTCGCCAATTGTTTTAGGGAGATCAGGGGGGTCGTCAGAGTACGCCTGATTTCCTTCTTCATGGTGGACAGTTTCGCTGCCGGCAGTTGTAGGGTCTGTAGAGTGGAGTCCACGATGAGGCCCAAAAACTCTATGTGTCGTGTAGGGGTTAGGATGGATTTTTTCCAATTGATAAGGAAACCCAAATTTTGCAAAAGAGTCTGAGTCCATGACAGATGGGTGTCGAGAATGTGGTTGGAACGACCCATGATAAGGATGTCGTCCAGGTAGATTATGAGACGAACCCCTCGACTTCGAAGCAGAGCCACCACGGGCTTCATAAGTTTGGTGAAACACCATGGGGCTGAGGACAGACCGAAAGGGAGACATGTGAATCTCCATTTCCTTCCTTGCCATATGAATTGGAGGAAGTCCTGGTGCTGACGTGCGATTGGTATCGTAAGATAGGCGTCCTGCAGGTCTAACTTGACCATCCAGTCCAACAGTTGGAGGAGATCTCGGAGGCAGTGTATGCCCTCCATTTTGAAGTGGTTGTAGGCCACAAAAGTGTTGAGCTGTTTCAAGTTGATAACTGGGCGGACGCCGCCGCCTTTTTTGGCAACTAAGAATAGGTTGCTTACGTACCCTGGGGTAGCCATGGGGATCTCTAAGATGGCCCGTTTGTGTGCCAATTCTGCGACCTCCTTGGTTACAAGGGAGGCATCTTGGTGAGAAAATAGCATGCCCCGTGGCGGGGCGAGTTGTATCGGGAGGGATATGAACTCTAAGGTGTACCCTCTGACCGTGTTCAGTACCCAAGCATCTGACGAGATGTGTGACCATACATGGGAAAAATGTCGGAGTCTGCCCCCCATTGCCCATAGGGAAGAAGGAAACAGGAGAGTACTTACCATAAGGTCGTCTGCCTGGGCGGGAGCCACGTGGTCCATGAGCCACCCATGGTCGCCCACGTTGTGGGAAGAAAACCGGGGCGTTGCGGTGCTCCGTGAAGGAGGCATGTCCAGTGTAGGAGCCACGGCTCTGTCGGAACGAGCCCCTATTGACACGGCCGGACAGACGGCTCCTGGCTCTTCCGGCCCCACCAAAAACCTTTGGCTGGAAAATCATGCGCATGCTTGACTGCGCTTTGTCTAGGGCAGTGAAAGTGTGAACAAAGGAGCCAAGCTCCTTGACAAAGTTGTCTCCGAACAGGAGGCCACGGGCCTGGGCGCCCGGTTCGGTTATAGCCATGTTCACCAGTTTTGGTTCTATCTTTAATAAAATCGCTTTGCGACGCTCTGTGGCCACCGCACAGTTGGCATTGCCGATCAGGCAAATCACTCGTTTGTATCCAACCACTTATGGCGGAACGATCTAATTCTTGGTCACTTTCGACCATATCAAAAATTTTTGTTGCCGGGCCCAATATGTCTAAAATCTTGTCCTGGCAGTTGCGCAGGGAGAAATCAAGGCCCTTATTAGGCTTCCAGCCAGTCTTGCCCAAGAATTGAATGATTTTTGGGTCAACTGCAGGTGTTCTGCAGGCCTCGTCAGGGACAGTGGGGCGTGGGCATTCTGCCCGCAATTTGCTTCGTGTCACCTTATTTAAAGGTTTGCGAGTCCGCGATGCCACGTATTTGGCCACATGGGCCGAAGGTGACCAGTCCGCTGACCTTGGATGACGTAGGTCATCGGGGTCGAACAGAGGTTCCCCGTAGGGGTCAACTAATCTGGTGGCATCGTCTGGCACTTTAAGCTCCATGTCATACGACTCAGATGGAGGTGCAATCTGTGTACTCGGGTCATGGTCGTCGACCATACCCTCTGATTGGGGATCTGATGGATCCTCCGAATCCATATCAGTGACCTCTTCAATCTCGCTGAGATCAGACTCAGATTCTAGTTGGGCTTTTGCCCGCTTCCATAACCTAGCCGATTTTGCCCGGCTAGTGGCTCTTTTGCGCGGTGGTATATTAGGCGCCCCATCTGTGACAGGTGTGTAGCTGTCCATCTGTGAGATTGAAGAGTGTTTAGTTTTTGCAGTGGCCTTGCGGCCAACGTGAGGTCGGGAAGGGGTTACTGCAGGCAAAGCCTGGGGAGCGACCGGTTGGGTCGACTTTTGTGCCCCAAGTATAGCGTGAGTAATAGTCTGTGACAGAGATTCAGACATCAGTCCCATTGCTGATGTGAGGGCCTTAGTCACCACATGGGACATGGTGTTGTCAAACATAAGCTGCATATCAGCAGTAGATTCAAAATCAGCGAGGTTAGTTGCACCAATTTCAGGTACCCCTGGGGTAGTTTTAACAGACCCCAAATTATTGATAAGAGACCCAGAGGGTACATCTTTATCCCCAGGCATGTTATGTATACCACTGGCCCTTTAAATAAATGAACTGAGTTGACCTAGATGGGTTGAGTAACCCAAAGATAGAAAGGGGGAATATACCTTTAAGAGAAAATAAGTACTCACAAAACAATAAGCACAATTAAATGAGACAGGTGAGGAGGGGGGCAAGGAGCCGTCCGACCGCCACTGTAGCTGCAACCCAACTCCGAGGACCGGGAGTTGGGGGTGGAGCTACGTGCCGCGCGCGGGAAAAACAGAAAATGGCCGCCGGAGCAGTGCAGAGGAGGCAGAGAGTCCGGTAAGCCCTGCTCGCGGCGAAAAGTGTAGCGCTCAGCGCGCACAAGTACGCCGCGAGCAGGGAGCTGATAACTGAGCTCAGTGAGCTCT